CACAAACACACACCCCCACACCCCCCCCCCCCACACCCACCCCCCACACATGGACACGCACACACACAGACACGTGGACACAGACACACACAGTCACTCCACGTCTGTAAACCCCCCCCCAGAGATACGCACACAGACACACACGGCCACACACACAGCCACAGACACACAGAGACACATACACACACACAAACATGGACACATACACATACAAACACCTCCACACCCACCCCCCCCACACCCACCCCCCACACATGGACACACACACACACAGACACGTGGACACAGACACACACAGTCACTCCACGTGTATAAACCCCTCCACAGAGACGTGCACACAGACACACGGACACAGACACACAGAGACACATACACACACACACAAACACGGACACATACACATATGGGCACACACACAGACACATGGACACAGACACACACAGTCACTCCATGTGCGTAACCGCCCCCCCCACAGAGACACACACACACAGGGACACAGACCCAGAGACACACACAGTCACTCCACGTGTGTAAGCCCCCTCCCCCACACACACACACAGAGGAAGAGACAGAGACACATACAGATGCCCACACACTTGTGATGCCTGGCCATTTCCCGCCCCACTGTCGTGTTCCCCGGGCATCGGGGTGTGATGCGCCTCACACCAGGGCAGCCCGTTGGGGTTGCTCCTGATTTACCCAGCGTCAGTGAGAGAAGGGCCAGGCCCACCATCCCCTGGGGGGCAGGCCCCAGAGCCAGCTAGGGCTCGGCCCCTGGGGAAGGGGTGCAGGTGCAGGGGTGTCCCGCTGGCTTCTCCCCCTTTGCCTCTTCAGCTGAAATGGCTCCCGGGGAACATGGGGTGGCCGGGGGCCCCTCTGAGCGGGTGGATGTCCCTGCCAGGCCGGCAAGGGGGGGCCTTGCGGGTTACTTCCCGCTCCCCAGTTCCTGCCGTGAGGAAGCGGGAGGGACCCTCGTCTGCACCCAGCGCCCAGGGATTGCCACCAGCCCGGGGCATGCGGGGGGTGGGGTAGGGAAGCCCCCGGCTGACACGCGGCCCCTCCCCCTCTGGTCTTTCCCCGTAGCAGAGACAGCGGCTCCTTTGACCTGAAGGTGGAGGGTCTCTCCATCACCATTGGGCTGAGGCTGGGCAGCGACCCCGCGGGACGGCCTGCGGTGACCCTCTCGGAGTGCGGGGCCCACATCGCCAGAGTGCGGGTGCGCATCTCCGGCCGGTTTGGGTACGTACCGGCCCTTCGCTGTCTCCGGCGCGGGCCTCCGGGGGCCTGGGTTCCCTTCAGCCCTGCTCTGCTGCCTCCCCGCCTCTTGGAGTCGGCACGTCCCTTCCCACTCCGCCTCTGCGAGCAAGGGGCTTACGCTGCGGCAAGGGAGGGTTGGGCTGGACGCGAGGGAAAACTTCCCAACTGGCGGGGGTGAAACACTGGGATAAGTTGTGGAAGGAGCTTGTGGAGTCTCCATCACTGGAGAGACTTAAGAGCAGCTTAGACAGACACCTGGCAGGGATGATCTAAACCGTGCTGGGTCCTGCCACGAGGGCAGGGGACTGGACTTGATGACCCTCGAGGGCCCGTCCTAGTGTTCTGTGATTCTATGATTCCTCCGCAAAATGCTTGCGGGTAGGCGGACCCCCGGGGTTACTGGCCCAGCGCTGCGCACAGAGGCTAATTAAGGAAAAGCTCTGAGCCTGCCCAGGAGTTCGGTTGCTCCAAGATGCATTTAATCAATCACCAGATCACAAGCCGGAATGATCTTGCACCAGCTCTGAATTTGCCCCAGGGCGCTGTCCCTTTCGGAGGCGTGTTTGCAGCCTCTCTCCGAAGGTGTGTGCACACGTGTGACCAGCCCCTCCCCTTGCAAACATGCCCTCCCGTTAAAGCCAAGCACAGCAGCGAAGGCTGAACCCAAAACATCCTGGCTGTGTCTAGACTGGCAAGTTTTTCCGGAAAATCATCTGTTTTTCCGGAAAAACTTGCCAGCTGTCTACACTGGCCACTTGAATTTCCGGAAAAGCACTGACGATCTCATGTAAAATCATCAGTGCCTTTCCGGAAAAACTATGCTGCTTCCGTTTGGGCAAAAGTCTTTTTCCGAAAGACTTTAGCCCAAAAGGGCCTGTGTAGACAGTGAAAATGGCGATTGGAGCTTTTTTGCGGAAAAGCATCCTGCCAATCTAGACGCGCTTTTCCGAAAATGCTTTTAACGGAAAACTTTTCCATTAAAAGCATTTTCAGAAATTCATGCCAGTGTAGACGTAGCCCCTGGGATGTAGGCCCCCTGGCCACATAGGTCCCCAGCATCGCCTCCGTCCAAGGAAATGCTGCTCTGATTTCCTGCTGGGGGCAGGCGCACAGGTCTACCGCGCTGTTTCTCTCCCTAGCTGGCTGTACAATCTCTTTCACAAGAAGATTGAGTCCAGCTTCAAGAAGACCATGGAAAAAAAGGTACACTGGGCCAGGAGCCCAGAACGCCAGCTCTTTAGCGGTCCCCTCTCCGTGTCTCCCATCGACTGATAGAGCAAAGCATTGTGGGTGAGCACCTCACCGTGCAGTGCTGTGGGAAGACAGCTGATCCCTGCGCTTCTTGGGATTCCTACGTAGCTCTTTGGGCTCTGCCTGCTGAGGAATGTCAAAGCAGCATAGCAACCTCTCCGGCCCTCCCCCTGCAGCAGCAGAACAGGAGCGTTCCAATGATTTGTTCTTTGTTCCCCAAACGGAGCCACTCACTCAGCTGTCAGGAGCTTTGAAAAGGGAGGGGTGCATGCCGGCAGGGCAGCAGAGATCACACAACACTGAGTGCAGGCATTGTGGGATATTGGCGGAAGCCAGGTCTCCCCACAAAACACACAGCAGAGTCCACCCTGGCTCTTTGTCAACAATAAAAGAGGAGCTGGGGTGTGTGTGTGACAAAAGTCTCTCACAGGGGTGGAAGTTTTTTGTCTCCAAAATTGGGTGTTTTTCCCAACAAAAGTCTCATTGTAATGTAAACATTCTCACTGTTTTGCTGCCAAAAGGCAGGTTTTGGTGTTTGGGGCGACAAAACACGCCCGTGTAGACAAACTGAGATGCTTTGTTTTCCCTCCGTAGAACAGGGGCTGTACCCTGCCTCAGCCTAACTCCTCGCCCCCCCCCGGGGACTTTCCCGCACCCTGCATGGCTGAGCTAACCTCTCTCCCCTGCCGGGCTGGCTCCCCTGACACGCCGGCACTCGCTGGTGCGCACGCACAAGTCTTTCCCGGCCCCCATCGGTCTCGGCCAGGCTCTGGGGCCCCACCCCCGCGGGGACATGTGCCGTCTGCACAGTGGGGTGGCAGTCACCCTGCTCCCCTATCCCTACCTGTCGTGCAAAGGGGCGAGAACCGGTCTCCCCCTCACAGCGGGTGCGTGTCCTGACCCCAGGGGCCAGGCTAATACCCAGCCGGTTGCAGGTCCTGCCTCTAGCGGCTCCTGCAGGCATGGGCCGAAGTGAAGAGCTTGCCTGGCGTGCTACCCACAGTGACACACTCTAGGGCAGGGCTGGGGGACCTCAGGCTAGCCTGGCCCCGGCCCCCGAGACTCAGCCCCCCCCCCACTCCACCGTGGGGCTGGAGCGCACAAACTCTCACTTGTGTGCAGCCCCTGGCTGGTTTTCCCGTGGGAAAGGATCCCTTCCCCTCCCCCGGTTCTAGGGGCACCCACGCTCCCCCCTTCATAGGCCTCGGGCGTAACCTTCCCAAAACGGGCACCCGCCTGCACCCTGCTGCAGACTCGGGCGTAAGCTCCCGCTGCGACTTTCCCAGTCAGATCCTTCTGAATCTCTATTAATGATCAACAGCTGCACGCTCACACCGGGCATCCGGCGCGCCCCACTCCCAGCGGCCCAGGCACGCGGCTCGCGGGCCAGGCAGGATCCGCTCCCTCCCGGGGACTCAGCCCGGTGGCCCCCAGGTCTG